ATACAAATCTCCAATCACTAAATACTGGTAGATTTTATTACATAACATAACTATAACAAATTAATCTTATAATAAATAATTACTAATCAATATTCTATGTCTACTAGTTTGTAGTTAACACCTACACATAGGCTTGTTGTTGTGATGACTGAATGAAATTAGGTTTAGATTATAATATTGCAAAATTATATTATACATAGTATCGAAAAGAAAAAATGTTTGTCTAATCGACAGGATTATCTTGAAACATTTGACTTTGATTGCCATATTTAAGGTCGTTATTTATCTGGCAAGGAATGATTGGGAACGGGTTCGCGTTGTGGTAAAAACTCGCCCGCTGCCGATGCGGGAATGTATCGGTCCAGCGACAGTTCATGAAGGAATTTCATCCGGAATCTCTAATTAAAAGTTGATCTAGCCAGACTGTTTCTTTTGCGTCACGGGGTATTGTAATTTGTTCATTGTAATAATGTCTATCTATCTCTAAGAACACACTAGATCCTTTACGGAATAATACCTATCACACCATAATCGCATCGAATTTTATGCAATAGCATTGTTTATCACCGTTGCAAGGTCCGACATAAACATCTTCCTACTTGTCATATGAACATGACATGTTATTTATGTTTAACATTTCTCTTTGATTTTTTGTTCTGTATTTCTAGTTTTTCGATTGCATGCATTTTATCAAACGTATCGTCGAATAAATTGTAATTTGAATTCATATTTTGTTGTTCAAGATGCTTCTTCTAGATGTATATTCATTTTGAAATGTATCTTTATTAAATTACATATAGCCTTACCTATGGAATATATGCAAAAGATGTGCTTTTTAACTTCACATCTTGACATATTGGCCTGGGATTTTTGCTTAAAATTTAATTAATTACTTCTTTACAATAATCTTATCGAAGCTTTAAAGGTTCCACCAATTTGAAAGCTGTCAATGAGATAGTAATGTTATCTCATCACGGCGATAACCTTATTTACTTACTTATTTGTACATATTACAGTCATCAATCCTCAATAATTTCATATATACAATTACATTATCTTCGTCATGTTTTTATTGTTTACTGCTACGTATATTTAATTTAGAGGGGTTGTTAGTGCTACCGTTTAAGGTAACCATTGCAGCTAAATGACTTTACGGACAGAGTCGACCAAACTATTTATTAATGTTGAATTATAAGTTTTTATGCATATAGTTTCAATTAGGAATGTGGTCCTAGTATACTACTGTATTTATGATATTGGTTCCAGTACACATGCATATCATAATGAATACGCGACGTATTTTGTAAATTGTAGATCTAAATGAATTAATATTATCATGAAGTATTTTAAATCGATATTTCCATTAGTTTCCAGTTTACGAAGCCTTTAAGGTCCACCTATTAAGTAAGCGTAATTACTTAAGCGACAAGCTGCACGTTAATAAAGTTATAAAGGTATAATTTAAAATGATAATTTTAGATTATTACCTATTAGCTAAAGAGTTTCTGTAGTCCACTTCGTTTCAGAGGAGTAAACTCTTGTTCTTATGTGAACACATTCGATAATTAGCATGCCAAATTTAATTATAAAGAGCAGATGCTATAAGTTTCTGTAATCCTGTGGATGTACATAAGGAGCGAGTGCTTTGAATAATTAAATAAGTGGGAAAATTATGTGTTCTATGCAAGTGACCTAGTATTGTTCATTCCGAGTTAAAGCGTGTGAAATCCTTGTGAGGTTGTGTGGGAGTTACGATTTATTTATAGTTACTATATCTAGCCACCTTTTGCATATTTATACTGTATTGATTGTAATTTATTAATATCCTTAAACATAAAATATGATTGATATCTGTATCCGGTCATTGTATGTAACTATGTATTATATTTAATATAATATTAAGTTTGTAAATAAATTTATTGTTATTATACTTAATGTTAGTGATTTTTTTCTACAGAATTAATTAAATTAAGAGTGATTGTTACTACAAAATTGAAAACTTATAAGATCTTAAATATTACGTATTGAAAAGAGAACCGTCTATACTGCTTTGAAGAGTGTACAATATTATATTATTGTTATATTGTGTAAAATATGAATCATGTTGCAAATTATTCTTGACCTATCCAATAATAAACTTTGTAGTATAATTTACTTCACTATGGAGGCATTTTTATAATTATCGTTCCAGTCTTTTAATTATCTTTAAAAGGAGAATCTTTATAATATTATTAGTATTTATAGTGTACGCCTTCTCACTAGACCCTGAGACTAATTTTGATAGTACGCAATCGATAATAAGTTTGTGGGCAGAAAGCAAATCCTTATTTATAAGTCAGTTCTAAACCATTATGATTTTAAAGGTATATAAGATTTTAGGATATTTATAGGACTATAGCTCAGAACTGATTTCATAATTGTAGATTATGTACTGCCTCGGTATAACATGTAGGAATGGGAAGGTGTGGATACCATACAGACACTTATATTTTGTAGTATTCATGGTGTGTTCTAGTGAACGGACTTGTTTACCATTCCAATTATATTAAAAAAATATTTATATATAAATGGAATGACAAACAAGCTGACGGCCCAACGTGATGGTAAGTGGTAACCGTCATCTATATCCCTTTAGTGTTGATATCATTACTGCTTGCCACGGCATGCGTAAATGTTTACAGAAGTTATATATATATATATATATATTTTTATTTTGTATTTATAAATATGTGTATGTATATTAAATTTTAATTTTAACTGTTAGTGTTAATGATATAGTGCTTATTAATTATTTTAGACATCGCAGTGTGCACGGGACAGTTCGAGATTCGCGAATAAGATACATGCCATTGAGAGTTTGTTCGTTCGCCTCAAACACCGAAATGCTAAAAATGGCATAAATAATTTATACGACGCTTGCTCTGGCTCGGTTTTTGTAGCGTCCGACCTGTCCACTGATGCATTTATAATATAAGGGTGCTTTTTGCACCGTGGCTTGCCCGCGGTGGAATGTAACCGCTAAAATTGATCTTGTTTCGAACGTGAGCTGATGCGGTAATGGTGGCGCTGCACCGCTGCATCGCATGCGGTCAGCTATGCTCTAGTGTTCACCTCTCTGAGTCCTATCTAGGATCCTAATATGATTCAAATATGTAATTCAGGACATAAATAGTTTATTCTGAGAATCTACAAGTTTCAACAGACGTTTCTATAATTTGATATTAATATTAAAACAATTTTTTATTGGTAATTTAAGATACTTTACTATTAGATGTATATTTTGGGCAGGTTTAGTTGTTCTTAAAATAAGTGTTTATTATGTACTTAACATAGCTCTTATAATATATTGTAGATATGTTATTATTATATAAGAGAGCTATGTTAGTACATAAAAAACAATCGGTATTTAGTTAGGTACTAATATAATACTTATATATCTTAAACTAGCTCTGCCCGCGGTTTCATCCATATGAAATTTATATCTTATGTGTTATTCTGATGTAAAGCTATCAAACGGTAACAAACATCTGTTCACATTAGGAAGGAGCTAGAAGAATTTAATTTACAAATCTGTTGCACGTTATCTGCACGTCGTATGCACGTTGCAGAGTACCATCGATCATGATGACGTTCTATCCGGTATAGGGTAAGGAGGTATGATGCCTTAGTCCTGAGGAATCGCAAATCGCATTTTGGGATGTGCGTTATGCGTTTAGACTACTGTTATGACTTTACGCTAGATGGATAATCGGCTTGTTTCATATTCTATTATACATATATATACGTGCGCTATATAAACCGCAAAACTAGTGATGCTAATGAACATATCTACTCGTATGTTTTCAATGTTATCAAACCATTTCTTGAAAGATTTATCTGCTAATTAATTGCATAATGCTATTAATTATGATAATAAGTTATTGCCTCTTATCAAAGTTCCGGGTCCGTTGGTGGGTACGACAAAAAAATAAAAAGGTAAAAAAGTATTCTCCTGTATATCTCAGGTCATATCTACGATTGACGAATTTTAGGGTTTTGTCAACAATCATATGTCGATATGTCGCGATTGTCATAATTTGTAGATTACGGTCTATGTATGTAACTTTATGCAATACAGTGGATGAAGGTAACCGAAAAATAGCTATTGATCTCTGTAAAAATTTTTATAGGCATTATTATTGTACTTGCGGAATTTTGGTCGTCCGACGGTGATTAAACGAAGAATAACTGATTTACAGATACGAAACTATGTAGACAGACCATAAAGAAATATTGGGTTAAATCAACTAAAGTAATATGTATATATTGAATGATGGAAATGTTATAATAAATCAAATCTTTTGAGGTCATGCTCACGGGGCATCACCTACCTAAATATGTATTTACTAGTGGATCCGGCAATTGTTTTGTTATATAAATTGAATTACTAGCTGTTAAAGAATAGGCATTGACGGTAGAAGGGTGAAAATTAAAATGTATTTTTTAATGCTGAATCATAAAAGACTTCAGTCTTTTTATTAAAGTAAAAATGAGTGAACCCTTATCACTTAGGGATATGAAAAATAGTTTACGTCCTAATCTCAGATCTATTGAATATACACACAAAATTTCATACGAATCGGTCAAGCCGTTTCGTAAGAATATTTACGAACACTACGAAATGAGAATTTTATATATTAGGCACTCATTCAAGAATTATCTTTGCATAGATATAATAAAATAGTGAAGAGGCGATAACTGTTAATGCGTTAAGGTTGCTCGTAAAAAAATGCTGAAGGAATTGTGATCTTCATGAAATATATTAAAATTGGTTCACATATTTATAGGTGAAGGAAAGTTTAGAATAATAGTAATAATTATATAAATAATATAGAATTTGGACATTTCACACAGCGCCATCTATTATGCCAAGCCATATGGATATGGATGGTAGAGATTATGCTATAAATGTTTTTCTATGTTTATCATTCCTTTGACTAAATTACATCTTCTTTTCACAGTAAACAAGCAGTTTTCGATGGCAAAAGAGCGATACGTGGAGGAATACCGTTCGTATTTCGTAAGTATGATTTTATGTATATATTTAAGACTTATGTAAGTAATTTACATAAACATAAACATCAATAGATATCTAAGTATTATCGTAACATTATTTTTTCATTCTATATATAATTAGCTATTAAATAGATAGCGACAATCCATACTTCCACTAATATTATAAATGCAAAAGTGTGTGTCTGTCAGTTAATTTTAACAACAAAATCGTTAAAGGAAATTAAATTAACCGTGAAGATAGGTTGTGTCACTACCTTTTAACTTAATAAAAACAGGCGAAGTCGCGAGTTAAGGTATTAATATATATTTTTGAACCTATATGTGTGTTCTAATATACAAATAAAAATTCATATATATATAACGTTATTGTGTTTTATGACAATGACAAATTTAAAAACAATTAATTGATTTAATCTGTCACTTATACTTGTATATGTAATGTAATAGATATACATATATAGCAGCTATGTATATTCCATACCGCCGTGATTGACAATATCATAAAGTTACTATAATTATTTATTTTTAGTTCTTAGGAACTGCTTTATAAGGCTGTGTCGTGGTGAACGTACACTTTATATGTGCACCTTTCGCTAAGTATATTTGAATACAACGTATTAGGGGGCGTACAGTTAGAATAAATAAATAAAATTATTGAGTTGTATGTACGAGTATAATGAAGACAATTCTATTACATGTAAAATAACTAATAGTTTTAGTTATATACAGTTGGTTATTTATTGTGGTAGTAAACATATTTTAAAGCCTTAAAATTCGTGGCGATATTGGTACAGCATCCTATATCGCTGGATCTTGTGCAAATTAAAATCAATATTCTCCCTAATGCCTACACAATTTTGCGATTTTAGGAACGTGTGCAGCTTTTATCAGACCATGTCACAGAAAAAAAGGGTTATGGGTTCAACTGTGCATTCAATCGCAACTCGATGACTCCTCACTATAGATTGTAACAATGAATTGTCAATCGAATCGGTTACATGGTAATGGTTCTGAGTGGGCTTTTGTAGTTAAATTAGCTAACGAAGAATGTTGCTAGGTTTTTCAAATATACATTAAAAACCTTTTTCACCGCAAAATAGTTCGATATAGGAGTAGGTAAACACAAATAAAAATCGGCTCAAAATAATCGACGAAGTTATTTCAAGACCCTAGACATCATGTAACACCCGGAGAAAAGGATATTAATGACTACCCATTTTATTGAATTGGTTGTTATTTTGCAAAAATCCTTTCATTACTTAATGGATTTATAGATTTTGTTTTTTTTAAACGAAATGGAAAAGAATCTGACGCTGATACCAATGAGCTTAGTCTTCTAGAATAGCAAAGTCTGTAGTACGACGAGTGTCACATGATAAGGTGATATCCGTAGTGCTGTTCATGTATATAGGCGGTTGGCTCTTACTATCAGGTAGGCCGTCTGTTGGATTGCCAACCTTACTCCTCTGAAATGACACATGCAAATGCATGCATGCATGCATGCAATGCACTAAGCAAAGCAAAGTGAGTGTCATATGATAACGTGATGCCTTTTACCGGTGGGCCGCTTGCCATTCCAATTTCATAAAAAAATATCTATTTGGTACTTTCAGCTCAATTTGGACAATGGGCGTTCGGACCGCAGCATGGGTTTGCGCGGGTGGCGCGCTGGCACGTGGAGAAGATGCCAGAGCGGTTGCCAAGTGGCGACGTGGAAGCAGTCTTCAGCCTCATGGATGACGACTTCACGCGATCTATGTGGCATTTCCAGTGAGTTACGATTATAATTATCTAATTTAAATTAACAGTAGTTTGATTTATCATTCACATCTAGGCATTTTAATATCCTCATATACCTATCGTCTGGTCTGGAATGTTTGAGCGGGATAAACACCATATTGTTAATTACAGTGTGACTTATTTCCCAAGTGAGTAAATTTTCTAGTCCCGAGTTAAGCAGAGCTTGTGTTATGGATACTGGACGACCGATATAAATGCATAGATATATATTTTTTTATATACATACATAACATACAGACATATAATATCCAGAGTAAACACCCAGATCAATACAAACAATCATACTGATGTATGACTACAAATGTTTGTACCGTGTGGGTCCGCTTCCGCGACCATCGGCAGTAATGCGGCGGCACTAAACCGCTAGATTACTGAGGCCGTCAAAGAGGGAGGATTTTAAACTTAGATTTGGTCCCTTTTCTTTTATTATTATTATATGTGTCATAACAGTAAAAAAACTTGAATAAGAAATGTTATTGTGTGCCAGGTTCAGACTAACGTACCGGCTGATACTGCGTGAGAAGGAGCTGCACTTCAACATCGGAGTGTACAACCCTAGTAAGGAGCTGACGTTCAGCTGTCAGATGCTGCTGCACACGTACTTTAAGGTGCCGGATGTGCGTCGCTGCCAGATCACAGGCATGCACGGCTGCATGTTCATTGACAAGGTTCGTATTGACTCGTTCTAAACCCCGGAACCGCCCGGGGGGTATCCCCCCCCCCCTCCTACCGCTCCTCTCCCTCGTCCTTGTTACTCATATTCGTAAAACAAGCTTAAAATTACGCGAAAACTGCACGGATGGAGGAATATGAAGTGCAGAATGCTAATATTTTTTTTTATAATAATAGATATAAATATAGATTTTGAAATGGAACTACTTTCTTCCCCTCGCTTATTACAAATACCAACTGCGATAGCACTGCGGAATACAACAATAATATATATAATTTACCTTATAAAGGATCTGGAATAAATAAATACTTGTCTATTTTATTGTGCTACAGACACGAGAAGGCGCCGTATACCAGGAGACGCGCGAGGTGGTCACGATCAACGAGTGGACGGACAGGATCTACCAGAACACAATGCAGGAGCACATCATCACGAATGTGGTCAGCGGGCGCAAGATGAGGATACAGAAATACAACTTCCCAGATACAGGTCAGTACTTTGTGTGTCTAGTAAAATGGGAATAAAGGCGGCCCACCAGATGGAAAGTGGGTAAACATCTTAATCCAATTAAAGAAATGACAGTTTTTGTTCAATCACCTGATATGTCTGCTATGCCATCTATTAATTATAATCTAAAGTAGCTAATGCCACATTTTTTTTATTTTTCGATTTATTAACTAATGGCCTATGCGTCTGTTATAGACGATTTATGTCGTGATGGTCCGTGAACAGCTCTTTTCGTGGCTATACATATATAAAGCGATACGAGAGCCACATAGCCTACCACAGGCTCGACGAGAATATATTGGCAGTAGTCGATACTAAACCGCCTAGATTGCGCTTCCGTCTCTTGTCAGCAAGTTTTTGAAGTTCGATTTATTAATCGAACTTTATATCTGTGTATATTTAGGATTTTTCGGCTGTTTCGATTTCACTGTAAATCAACGCTGTAGTCAACTTATTTGAATTTGCCAAGTCAAGATAATTTTGACTATATATAAAAATACAGGCGTGATCATACAAAAAATTGTAATGATAAAAATACATTTATATTCTAAATGCATTTAATCTTATAATTCTGTCCTTGTGTAATTTTGATTTTAATTCTCTTCACTTCTTGCCAGTCCTTCAAATAAATCTCCTCATTCCTCTAGTAAAAATTGCAACAAATACGAAACAATCGTAAGACAAAACGTAGACAAGATGGCCGGCTCATTAATTATAATTTTAGAGCCACGCTCTTCTTGGTGGAACTCTTCCACGATTTGTCATCAAGATTTACATTCACAGTGATCTGGAACCCGTGGGCGGAGTACGCTAAAGAGATCCCGGACTTCGGGGACGACGAGTTTCCTAATATGGTGTGCGTGGAAGCGGGCCGCGTGGCCGCGCCCATCGTGCTGCTGCCCGGCACCGCCTTCGAGGCCAGCCAGATACTGCAGGTAACTGTCACCTTATCCTTATTACGGAACGGTAGCTCATGCCTAGCTTTGACAGTCTCGGTGGTCTAGTGGTTTTTTTTTTGGGCTATTAATAGTATATATCGTTAATGCATTATAGACTAACTCAACGACTTTATATGCTGATCCGATGGTCGCGTGTTCAATTCCTCGCACGATACAAACATTCTCCATGAGTATGATTGTTTGTATCGGTCTGGGCGTTTTTTAAGTATATTGTGCATGTATTTACAATAATATATATATCTAAGTATTTATGTAAGTTGTTTATACCCATAATGCGTGTTATTGCGCATAGTTTCGTGTTATTTCACTATATTTTAAAATTTTATTGTTTATTCACAGATTTTATTTTCCAAAGACACGTTTTAGTTTTTAATTATCAAAAACTCTATTTATCAAATGCGCTACTTTGCAATGGTCATTAATTAGTACAAAAAGGCAGCACGCACGATTGAAGGACGCGGGTATGCGCGATCTTTCTCGTTATCTTTGTCTAATAAAAAATATATACCAAATTGAAACATGTTTAAAACGATGTTCATCTATTAATTTGCTATATTTCATTTTCAGGTTATGTAAGTAGGTGGCATTAATAACTACACGTAGCCGTCCAGTGGAGCGATGTCAATTGTGAATGTTTAAGAAAGTTTTTAGTAGAAGCCAACCGCACGCGTGGTCGTGCCGACGTACTAATGTATAGGTACATCGAATGTTAATAGGACACTGTAGGTCTATTGTTGGAACAAACTTATTTCATTCTATTTATTATTTTATTTTGTTGATAATTTCTTCGCGTTTTTATCTTCATTAGGTCGCGTATTTCGCGGATTCTAGCACAATACAAACATATATTTCCTGTGGTAGAAACAAAAACAGTTGTGTATTTCTTTCAGTTGTTTAGTAGCCATAGTACAAGATCTGCTTAGTCCAACATACAAGGTTATAGCCCGGACATCACTTATTTTTTGATAAACGAAATGTGTAGGACACAATACCCGGGAAATAGTCCATACCAACACTATACTATTTTCTGGGTTTTATGCAACAAAATTATGTAATAACTAAACTGAACTGCTAACGGTACTTAAATTCTGAAAGCTGATTTTTATGTATATACAATATTGTTGAGAGGAGAGGAGATGCATATTTTTTGTGTCTCTTCGTTGTCTTAAATATTTTTATTTTCAATCATAATTATGCCGTATTAAATAATGGTATTTGAATAAAATCTGTAATTTCAACTTTGTTCCGCCATTAGGCCTGTAGGTATAGTTTAAACATATGGTAGCTAGTATTATCCTTTAAATACTTTAGACTATTTACCTTTTATTGTAATTTTCTCATGAGGTATTGTTCTTGCCACTGTTACATAAAAACGGACCTATGACGCCTTAAAATAGCTACTTTATACCAATAATAATAAAGATTAAGTTTGTATGCTTGACGATTTTCGAAGAAGTCCTTTTGTCGAAAATATTTATAATATAACAACATGTTTTTATTAACTTATTTAATAGAATCTTCCTGTATCGGGGATTCCTTGGTATTTTGCCCGCTATGCAATCCTTTTTTTTACGGCACTGGCAGTGTTATCAGCGGCGAAAATCCTTGTATGAAATTGCTATTTCAAGGCCTCTAATTATGTTTTTGTAAATTTAAAGTGATGTTTTCCAGTATTTGGTCTACAATTTAGTATAGTATTCAAAACATCGAATATTGGAAACCATGTATAACATATGTTGATTTCATTACTTGTAGATTTAAGTTTTGTCGAGTTTATAAGCACGATTGTAATCGCAGAGAGAGTAGGCAGAGGTATTGGTCGACTGCAGCCACTATGGTAAACGTAGTACTTCAAGACGTAAAAATATTGCATTTGTTGATCCCACACTAGTTATAATAGCTACTTTACATGAATCATAGTTAAATATGTCTTATTAAGTATGCCTATATTAAAAGTTTTCTGAATCTACCACGGAAAAACAGATATCGGCTTCTCGCAGGTAAACCGTGGTACCGTTACAGTTACAATTACCTTGTTTTTTTTTTTTAATCAAAACTAGGTAACTGTGTGGAGTATCCTACCTGCCTCGGTTTTCTCGCGAGAAATGTGGGGTTTTTGGAGTTTATATTAAGGTTTCTTAAGGGTCGGCAACGCGCACGTTTCACCCCTAGTGTTTCAGGAGTCCATAGGCTACAATTACCGTTTATCATCAGACCGACCGTATGTTTCTTTACCACCATCGTAGTATAAAAAAAATAGTAACCGTCAGGTCATATGAAATGAATTATTTTATGAATATGATAAAGTGGCTGTTATAGTTATCAGCATTGTATTACACTGACTCAAACGTATAAAATTAACCAATAATGCTCAAATTCTTTATTTTCTGATATTATAGTTTTTAAGTCACCATTCCATAAATCATTCCGTTTGTTTTGTACAAAAAATATTTAATAATGGTTCTGTATTATCATCTGTACTTTGTATATTTAAATGCTAAATTCAGGACCTGACAAAAAGTCCAAACAGCGCACTATGTACAATAAAAGTGAAGCTGTCGTTCTAGGAATGGTTTCTGTGCCAATTTGGTGACAATAATTATTTCCGTTGTTTTCAGTAGGTGTTTAATGTAATGTATGTTTTAATTAAAATGGCGACAAAAAATAATACTTTACATGAGGAAGGTTCGAAACCTTGAATATTATAAGTAATACTAGGAATGTTGTAATATGTAACTCTTTGTAATTATCTATATTTTGAATATTGTTTTGCATACATATATAATTTTGCTTGTAAAAAATAAAAACACGTTATAAGTTCCATATTTAAAACTTTAGGATTTTGTTTTATAGAAAACATATAAAAATTATAAATTTACACTCCGTAACTCCGTTGAAAAATGACTTCCTACATTCTACATTTCATTCCAAGTAGTTACGTAGATATTACACAATTGTTTTCTAAATCCATAAAATAAAAGCAACTATCAATTATACGTGAATATATTATTTTATTTTAATAAAAAATATTTGGTTGTGTATAAATTAACTACTGACGAAAAGATACTACAGAAACTAGTATTTCTTAAACGGCGTATACAAAATTTATTATCATTTTCTATTGAGGTGACTTTATCTGTATGCATAATAACAGATTGTACCTAACACTTGAGATAATAAAATGACTAATGCGCTTTTTGTCCCATCCGATCGATCCCCCATCCAATTCAATTCAAACGGGGATCGAAATTACGACGCCCTGAGCCGAACCACTGGTTTTTAATTTCAAAATTTGGTTTACAAACTCTAAATCATTGTAATGACTGAAGAGTAAAGGGATACCTGAGATAAGTTTTGTTTAATAAGCTTCTAAATTTTTTGTATTACAAAATGTGGATAACTTCTGTCGTCTGTTGCCTTTATTCTGAAGATATATTTCTTTTGAATTTATTTTTAGTATATAACAGAATACTCAGTGCACTTGTTTTAGTGAATTATTGTTTACACTAATGTTCGCATTACATGTTTTTAAATTATAATCTGTTAATATTTTTTTTTTGTATATTCCTTGTCTAGCGAAAGCCTCATGATATTTTGTTGTATGCATTTATGTTCAATTTTTTAATAAACTTGATGACCCGTAAATGTCAGTCCTACATTTTACAATTCAAAACAAATTGTGTACATACTCGGGCTCAATTTTTGTACAAATTAATGTGATTTTAGTACATTTATTTTGAATTTTTATTTGGAACATTTTGGAGGCTTTTATGGTATACGATAATTAATGTAAGAATATGTACTTAGATATAATGAGTTCCTTGTTTTTTTAATCTATACAGACAATTGGGTAGGTACTTTAAATGTTAAAATTATCTAATACTGTCATATCAGCATCAAAGATGTGTTAATAATAGCAATATTGTATTGTGTATTGATACATATTAGTAGAATATTGATGCTGTTCACAATTTATATATTGTAGGGAAAGTGATGATTAAACAATTCCATTGTTGTAGTATGTATAAAACTGACTAACGGTCATATCCGTAGAGAATTAAGGTTGAAAATATCATTGAATATGTGTGGCGCGGAGAAGCGTGCATAATTATGTATACTAACTTGTATGTAAAGTGATTTGTTATATGGTGACACGCAACATCGAAAATTAGCAACGAAGTGTACTTCCATAGGTGCAATAAACTGAATAATAAGGAGAATAATTTGTTTTATTTTAAAGGGCTTCCCTATAGTTTTATGTTGCAGCATAATATACCTTTACCGCTATTATCCTAGATAAGATAATAAAAGGCCTAGCCACCTGTCGACATGGTAGTGAACGCAATACTTGACATGACATGATCACACTTCTCAGGAATAGTGCAGGAGGCGGTCCTACCGGCGGCTATGGCACTCATTATAAAAGCCTTAAATAACAATAGAATACTAAACTGAAATCAATCTATATAATATAATTTGGCCCACCAGATGATAAGTGTTAACTGTCTTCTTTAAATATGAATAGCACTACGGACACATGTCATGTTTTGCTTTTGATACCATAATGCATTGTATTCATGAAGACTAAGATCATGATCGTCATGATCATTATCTGCTGCTTAGCGTCTGAAATAGATGAGACTGAGACCCACGCAGACAGTTGTTTTTATTTTTTAAAAACAATATGAATATTTTTAACGACTAGAAAGTCAAAGAGAACTACTAACTCTAACTATAGAAAGTATTCTTTCTGAATTTGTATTATTTCGTTTAGTGTTAGGTTTAGAATAAAAGAGACTGTAACTTTACTAACTTTGTATATTGATATATTTATTTAAACTTTACAAATAACTACTAAACTGATTTTGTTTCATTTTTGGTATTCTTTGATTGTAACTCCCACACTCCAACTTCTGTTAAAATGTCCTTTTTAGATTCGAAGTATTCTTTGTACCACATTATGTGATCTTTTTTTTCTTTTACCGTGTAGAATGCATTTTTCGAGAGACCCACGCATACCAGTTCCATGAAATGTCTGATGGGACCCTTCTTTGGACACCAACCTTCGAGATGGACGTCGAGGAAGACGTGTTCAGAGAAGTGGACATTTTGTTCTTCTTCCAGTCCTGTATGAAACATGTTTAAAATTAAAAAGAATAAACAATTTCTCCACATACACACACAAACTTTAATCATAATTCAACAAAATATGTGTGTATAAACTACGAATTTTTAAGAAAACTATTATATATGTACATTTAACGTTGCTGAAAAATTTGTTTATATAGTTACTGGGCAGAAAAACTGACATATTCTGTCTGTTTTTGTGTCCTATCCTATTTATATAAGATTGATGTGCTACCCTACCTATATATTGCTAAAACCAACCCCTCCAACCCCTCCAATAGGTTTTAGGTGAAAAATCTAACATACATCCAAACATCCATCCGCATTGTAATAAATTCCTGGTGCATTTGCCACGACAGTCTAACTGACCTGACCTCATGCTCACCTATAATTCTTCACCATTCCATTAAAAAAACCCTTCATCCTTATAAAGTACGGAATTTTATAAATATATATAGGATTATAGGATTCAAAAGTAGTTACCTTGTTCATTGTTTATGGGGAACTTCCAGACTTTTCCTTGTTCTGTCCATAGTGCCATCTTTTGAAAATAGTTGGCGGGTGGTTGTGTCGTCGCCAATGTGAGTTCACGTTGTTTGAGACTATCCCACACATCCAGCTTAGTGCCAAAATTAGTATCTTTTGCTTTGAAAATACCAAGTGGTTCGGCACTAAATATATCTATCTTATTTACTTGTGGTAAACTGCAAAGGTTTATAAACATATATATGTTATATAATAATACTTATAACTCGGTCTTAAAGTTGTTAAGCACATAACTTCCAATGGTTGTAGCTTCAATACTATGCATGGTACGAACATTAGTATTAAAGAGTAGGATTGTTTCTATTGGTCTAGGAGTTTTCTATGCTATGTGCATGTATATACAAAAAAATTAATTTGGATTTTACTATCAATTGTCTAATGCTTATAATACAAGTTCTTCTTAGCTTGGTACTAGATGGAGCTGTGTGAGTTTGTACTAAGTTATTATTATTATCACCAAACTAGAAAATTTGTTTGTCTGCAGATTCTGTCACACTTTCAGTTAACAAGCAGTTTCCTATTTATGTTTTCAGTTAAAGAGATTTGTCAGATTTATCATTTAGTGAAGCTGTAAAAGCCAGCTTGACTGCAACTGGCCTTTACAGCTTCGCAGCTTTTTTGCAACCTTTAAAATCAAATCAAATTTCAAATGGTATGACACCCTAATTACCCAGAATAGCAACGCGTGAGGTGAATGGTACTTCTCATCACACGATGTGAAAATATTAATTATATAATTGGCTGATAAATAAAGTTATACTATACAATACCTCTTTTTAGTAAATTGTGTGGATAGTGGCTTGTCTTTACGCTGTGCAAACCTAGTATTAGGTTGCATGGCACTCTTTTTTTTATCAATCAGCCGTTTAACTTGTTGTCCTCTTGTTTCTGATCTCTGGATGTCATCACCATCTTTCGAGCGGTCCACTTTCATACCAATTAATAAGTCACTGTAAATAATTTTCAAGTACTAATAAGTAAAATATCTATGTATTGTAATAGTTGTCCTAGTTATTATTAAAAAATAACATGACTGTTCTCCCAAGAGAGGGAACAACACTGGTCCATTACAATGTGGCTGGAGTGAACATACATCTGGTTCTCAGGTTAATTTGAAATTTTATCAGTGTTGCTATTGCAAATTAATAGCAGTAACAATATACAAATCTTAGAGAATATGGTATGCCTTACAAGTGAGTTGAATTATTGTATTTGTTTACCAGCTGTGCTAGTAATCTTTTATCATCATGACACACACAATGGTTCATATCATATTGTAACTTTTACATTTAATATTAAAACAATATATAGTTTATGTCGATCAGGAATAATGTAAATTAAAACATTGAAAGATTTTCTCTCAAATTGGTGCAGTAGTTCCAGTTTTTTTTTTCATAACTAAGACCACATTCATTATAATATTAGTATGATTATTGCCTGTACTTAAAAATAGAAGGAAAATTAAATATTAAAAGCAACAAAGATACATGGACCAGAAATACTTGAGTCAGAATGGAGTGGAAAAGATTAGAGGTGTTTGTTTGGAATCAAACAGATGATCAAGATATTTTTGGATATAGTTTAAACAAAGCTGCTGAAAAAAAAATTAGTTTGAATAAAAAGTATAGCCTTTCATTATACATATATATTTTAAAAATATATTACAATATTTATTCACTAAACTTCTTCTTTTAGTAGCTGGTAAAAACTTATTTTTGTAAAAAATAAGTATAAATACTTTATGATACAATACATTTTTATACAAACCTTAGTGTAGTTGACGATTGGTTAATTTTGCCAAGAACTTTGGATAGTAATTCTGCTTCAGTCTGCTTCACATCACCACCAATTGCTTCAGCTACCTCTGATGCCGCCTTTGTAATGCTTTCCTCTGAATACAAATTAAACCTTACTATAACATACTTTTCTACTGAAATAAATATATAAACTGGGGGGAAAGGGGCTTTTAGTAATGTCGACTAATAACACCATTGCTAGCTATGTACCATGTTAGGTTGATGTGGTTCCCCTTAGAAATCATTGGGATAAATTCATGATTAATTTACCACGATGGGCTAATTGACCTGACCTCATGCTCGTCTTATCATGCTCTATTGTTACTCGCAGCAGCATAAACCATTAGCGTAGGTGCACCATTCTATTTAACTCTAAATTTCTAATAACACAATTGCTAGCAATGGTTTATAATAAATATTTTCCATTTCCACTTAGCTTCTTTAGGAAAGTTATTCAGTTTTCCAAATACTTTTTATTACATTGATATACCTATTTTTTCTGTTTTTGCTTCTATTACATCTGTTTTCTGTTTACGATTCTTCAATACATCAGGTGCGGTAGCAAACTTTTCTCTGTATTCACTTTCAGATATCTTAGGCTCAGCCATCATCAACTTTAACAGTTCCTGAATTTTTTCAGTATTGGAATCTGTTTTTTTCTCCGGGTTTGCTTTTATTTCCGGCGTCTTATCCTCGCCATCAATAGGTTTGTCGGATAAACATCTAGTTATAAATTTAAAATCACGCTTGAAACGAAACCTGAAAGAATAATAACCTCTGGTTAAACATCTAGGATATTATAATATTAATAATAATAATTATGCAGGGCAATTCCCACAGGTTACCTAGTGTAGTAGCTAAGCAAAACTTGTGTTATGGATACGAGACAACTGACAAAAATACTAATATGAATAATGCAATATATTTTGGAAAATACATAATATACATCACCCAGACTAATACAAATAATTATACTCATGAATTTAAACATTTGTAATGTGCTAGGTAGGAATCTAACCTAAAACGATCATGGTAAGTAAGTGTCCTAAATCGCTAAACCACCGAGGCCGTCAACAGTCCTTTTTATTATATACGATTTACTTCATTCTAAATGTATAGAATGAAGTAAATCGTTCATAATGCCTTTAACTACCTTACGAGTTTACAGTGGTAAGTTACATAAAAAAATATTATACTGTAATAATTACTAAATAAATAAATAAATGCCATACCTGGTTATCATTGTAATAGAAATAAAGTTAACGTTCTTATTTATCAATAAAATATCTATTTATTATCTAAACACTAAATTATTTGTTTTTGTTTATATATTATTCCTGCATGTATAATGCAAAAATTTTAATAAATATTTTTTTAGGTTATATTTCATCAGTCAGATTGTCATGTCAAAATTTCATGTGTTGTCAATCTATCAGTATGGAAAATGATTGATGACAGATGTGACAGAGGATTAATCTGTCAATTTGATATCTTTACGCCAGATAACCCTACGGGGTAGCCTCAGCCACACAACAAGCTTGTGCAACCAACTGCCGTTTGCTTCTTAATTAATCTACATTCAAAATTGGTTGTGTAAGCTTGTTTTTGTATTTATTCAAGTTCACGATAATTTGATATACTGATATATCCCAATAAGAAAATTTTAAAACACTTTAATGTACGGCCAAAGTACATTTGAAGTTTTATCATTGAGAAACACACAGAACACGGAAGATTTCTTTTGATTTGTGGAGAAACATCAAAGTGATGTTCCTTAATCCGTCAGTGTTGTTTATTTAGACTGAATGTTTTTTTTATCAAAGTCAGAGTTCTTGATTATTATTTTATCGTTGTTATCGAGGACTTAATATCGATGTTTTTCGATTAAATATCGATAATTTCTACTGAGGCAATCAGTAATTTAGTAGTCGTGCCAATGGACTGTACTATAGGCTAATGGCCAATTGAAAAACCTACATGAAATTAACTAGTATGCACTATGCTAATTTTATTTTTGCACACAGTAAAAATAGTAAATAGGGTAAGCGGTAAATAAAAAAAATATTTTAATGGCACATTGATATAATTTTACAACGACTTATGAATATTATTAAGTACTTGACATACAAAGAAAATGTCTTGCAACAGGGATACTTTTAGAATTATAACATAACATTTTCCCTTATACCTTATATGTAGGTACAGACAGTAACAAAATAATAGAGCAAGAGTCCATGACCGCCAGACCTTCGAAAATTGAGTTTCATAAGTTAATAAATTTGAGATGAAATTTTACACACCTTTGTTACGTGTTACCTGCCAAAGGACCCTCGATCCAGGTTTCGAGGGTGGGGATCGTTCTTACCTGTTTTAGGAACACACATAGAAGAACTTTCATATTTACTTATAATAGGAAGGTCTGGCTGTCATGGGCTCTTGGACTATAAGTAATAATATGTACATTTTATTATTAAAATTACGGTGTGACTAATATAATCTAGTTTTAATATTGGGCCCCATTCTATTGTATTCATATCTGTTGGAATGCTATACTATATTAAAAATATATTGACTTGCATTCATACGCATATGATGGTGATATTCATAGATATACGAAAATATAGAAAAAATATATAAGTTATGAATTATTTTATGCTAGTCAATCCTAATAAACATTTTACAGAAATACAAAATAAATTGCAATAATTATTTTCTAATAATTACCAAGTTATTATATAACCAACTAATAATAATATATTTTAACTATACCATAATAATGATGAAGTATTTATGATGTCCCTTAGCTTCTATATAATACCTACTTTAAGACTCTTAATATACCTACAGCACCTATATCTTATACATTGTTTCAACCTATTATAACCTTCGTAATTCGGCATAATGTTGTTTTCTCTCGTTATGGAAATACATATATTTAAGAGATTACAGTTGTATTTTTTTATTAGTACCACGTATTACTTACGATAATTAAATTATCACATTCTTATCACTTCGAATTAACATTTTTAAACTACGCAAAAAAATGAAATTATGACAACAATATAAATATGATATTAATTGTCCAATTTATAATATATAATGAATTCACTTGTTCTTAAAGAGCGTGTGCACTAATCGGTAGAGTTGTAATGTCAAATTCTGGCAAATATATGCTCGTGAGTAGTTACATCGGTCCGACTAAATCGTACCTTGAGTAGAAGTTTTTCTGAAAAGTCTAATACAATCTATACAGACCTTAAGCACGAAGGTATGTGATGAAATGTAGCATTATTATAATACTGGTAACACGTTCTATATACATACATTAAAGAAAATTACATTACCTATATATAAGAAAAATGTTTTGACCGATTTTTGACCGATGATCTCGGATATGTTGGATTTATGTTTATATAAATATTTCATTACCATATTAACAAAAACACTGAAAAGATTAATAATAAAAATGTGAAGTAATATAATTTTCTCGTACTTTTAAATGGGTTGAAGTTACCGGGCCATAATATTTTAAATCTGAACTAAAAAATACTGTTAAATATAATACTTATTTTCTTATATAATGAAATAATACTAACAATCTACTGCTTTACTGCATTGCAGTTTCTAACAATTATTAATTAGAATAGACTAATATTTTTGGAATAAAGATCACATGGTCTGTTTGTTCCAATACTACAAATCCGAATATTCATAATCCTCATACCAAATCGAAAGTTACATTGTTTTGCTAATAACTAAAATATTATCGAAATTAGAGTAAAATACGGTTTAAGAGCAATTAAACATTTATAAACATAAGTTTAATCACATCGATTAAACTTATTTTATACACCGTGAAATCATAGCTCCCTTCAATAACATAAGGCATAAGTATATACGCAGATGACTCTATACGAAGTCTTCCTTTATTTTTTTACTTACAGTATATTCATAATATTAATTGTAAGCAGCTGTTGAAATGCAGTCTTTCAAATGGCAGTACATATTCATTCCTTAAACGTAGTCTACACAGACTAGTAAAAATGATGTCAAAACTAATTATCCTGCATATACGGAATGTATATGGAAACTAATAAATAATATATGGAAACCCATATGTGGAAGACGAAAGTGTTTATTTTATCGAATTCCACTAAATAACACTAGTTATTTAGCAGAAGTCCATTAAATTACTTAACTAATTTATATTATTTTGTGTAATTCCGCTACTGTTAGCATGTGTAAAAGTATAAATTTTGTGTGTGCGGCAGTGCGGAAACCTGACCATCGCTTCCGGAAGCGTTACGACCTCTACAAGTAATAAATTCCGACTGTTATGGAAACTACACCCATATTGCAATATGTGTTTTGCCTCTGAACGAGGCATCATTAGGCAATAGTTCGGTTCAGTTGGGATTTAACTAGGAACCCTAGTATTGTTCGGCGATCAGACTACTCTCACATGCTAATAGTAGCGGAATTAAACAAATCCATTAATTAATGAAAATATTTAATTTATACTTAACATATCAATAGGGATTAGCCGTAAAGTGCATAGCATGGAACTGAACAAATCTGCCCACGTGTAATACAAACGGCATGCTCACGTGATCAATATAGTACGAAAAATCAACATTTTATTCAGATTTCCACTTTGTGTACATGAAAAATCACATATATGTATAATCACATTATCTACGATTATACATAGAGACCGCCAATTTTACAATAATGTACGTTTTACTTAATGCCTAGGCACCCAATTAGATTACTAGTAAAATAATCTGTAAAAGGTCTTAAATCTTTATCCAGATCAATAAATGTAATAATAAATAAATCATCTTGGACGGCTCACATGCGCGATTTATATGACGAACTTGTACTAGAAGTACTAGACAACCAACAAACATACTTAATTACATTTTATGTAATTACATAGAAAAACATATAGACCAATATAATTAGTTTAAATACTTATGAAAAGGAATACTTGGCATTATATGTTTTCATTTAATTTCGAGACCATCCTTATTAAATATCACGTCGTAACACTATTATTAGATATATAGATAGATGAACAATTTATTTTATTGATTTATTTTATTGTATCTTCAACTGTACACAAAAATAAAATATAATGCAACATAATGCATTAAAGAAAATATTACGGTAGATTTGACATATCATAAATCTATACTATTACAAACTTATAATTAACCCAACTTACTAATCAAACAAATCAAATCAAAATATCTTTATTCATGTAGACCTATTTTGATTTGATTTGATTAGTAAAATGGGTCTCTCATACAAATTCAACTAAATGTCTAATCTATTCCCTCACAAGTAACTAAATTATAAAAGTCTTTAAACATCCTTTTTTATAACAGAAAAGGCAAACAAACTGAGCCATCGGATGAAAAGTGGCAACCGTCACCTTTATAACAGCACCACAAACGTCACGTGGTCACGTGACCGTCGTGATACTTGTCGTTCGTTGCCATTAATGAGGTCTAAGGTATCATGCCTCCCTACTCTGTTATTTCACTGCCATATCTGTCCGTTTAATCTGGACAATTTAAAAAGCAAGCTGCTTGGCGGCAAAAATAGGTAAGATCGAAAACAATCCAGACGACATTGACGAAGTCTTTTTGTGTAAAACAAACACTCACCTGATGACAACATAATATGTTATGAGCGCAGTTTTACAAATCCGAAATAAGAGTACCCTGGTCGCAACCACACCGTCCTGTTTTTCTCCCTCTGCGCTATATTTACAATATCATTGTCGTACAGTCTCGTCACTATTTGCACAGAGCAGGATATTTGTGACTGAGCGAGAGGTCGTTCGCTGGATCCGCTGGTTGCACAGGTGGTCAGTAACCGAGGATCTTCGGAACCACGTCGCCCCCATATGAAGAAGCAGCTTGGTTCGTGCGTTAAGTATACGATCTGTTGAAATAGTTTCGTTTTTAATCCTTGACTACTCGTTCTACTCAACATGCTGCCCACCTTCATGAAGGAGGACTACTAAGGGTGTGGTGTAGCAGCGCTACCGTGGCAGATTGCCGTCGTCAGGTCCGTGACCAATCAATTTCAATATATTAGTTTCATAATATTAATTGATATGTATATTAGTCTATATTTAAGATATTTATAATATGGACCTAGTAGCCTGATATAAATAAAAAAAGTTAGTCATAGTTCTCAAAGTATTTCTGCTGAAGTGGCAATGAGTCGGCCATATGAGCCGAAGAAGAGCTGGGAGTGTATGAATGAGGAAGGCAGACGAAAGGACTATCTAACAGTCTATAGGTACAGGCTGAAATAATAATTCTAGACGGGAAAAAAGTTGGCCACTTGTGATACCACGATAATTTTTTTTTATGAAAAATTAGAAAAAATAATAATAATAAATAAATTATAACATTAAGTAGAAAGTTGGAGTCGAATCGAATAGATAGTAGTAAGTGGCAAGAGATCCAGTAACAAGAACGGGGATCTTAAATTATGAATTAATATAGTAATAATAAGTGGTAACAAAAATGAATGAGAATGGATCAGAATGGCACTGCAAAAATAGCCAAATGCTGTGCGATCTAGTAGTTGAGGTAGCTTGTACTATAAATATGAGATAACTCACTTGTGCGTATATCAAATACAGTCCACCTTCCTTGATGGTAACATAGTTATTGTCGAGTCTGATCTTGTTGTGGCTTTTAGCTGATGACACTTTCAAATCTCGGGTCCATGGTCCTATTATGGCTGTAAATAAATATATAAACAATTTATATGTTATACATATTATATAAATGGGATATTTACTTTTATATATTATTTATGAAAGAACATATAATAAATTCAATCCCGTATACCAATATGCATTTTGTAAGACAAAAATAATATCGACGGAGATCCGTAATGATACTAGAATGCTGAAAGAAGTTACTGGGAATTTATAAATACCTACCACAATTTAAAGAGAAAAATCGGTTTTATGTAATCCAATAAAATACAATATGTATCTGTTCCCAATGTGTACAATGTTTGTGAGGAAAAATAAATAAGATTATTACTTTTATATATATTTAAGAATAAGTGTAAAGTTAGATACACTCTAAAAAGTCGAAGTGGATGTGTTTTGTACTAACCAGATTTATTTCTTTACTCTCTGTTTTCTTTTCGAACTATTCTAATGCTGTTGGCTGCAGCAGGCCAGATACGACTTTAGTTTGGCACCGCTAGGAGTTCGAACCTCAGCACAGGCCATCGTAATTTCTATCACCGTTTGAATTAGACAGGGATCTATCGGAGAGTAGTAACCATCAAGTGTTCTTCAGTGACAGTGGTGAGGATGAAAAAGACTAAGAAAACGAGTAGATATCTTACTAAAGGTATAAACGCGAAAGTTTGCGACTTTGGATGAACGGTGGATAGACGTTTGTTACTTTTTCACATAAAAACAACTGAAGGGATTTTGATGAAACTTTACAGTAATATTGCTTATACATCAGAATTACACATAGGCTATTTTCACGTGGATGTAACCGCTGGCAGAGCTAGTAGGGAATATAGTCTGTCATAGTCACAAATCTATACGCATACAACAATTTTCTAATGCTACATCAATTAAAAATATAAGTAGGTACTATTTAGCTTTAACAATGGGTAACCAGCAATGTAAAATGTCAGGCCAATTTTCACGTGGTCCTTCGGGAAATAATAGTAATGAACGCTGTGATGAATTAACTTACTAACTCATCTTATAATCTTCCACTGGTGCCCCCGCATGCATACAGTTAACATAAGTGGGAGAACCACTCTATTATCGCACACAAAAATGCTGTTTATATTATTCCTTTGGTTTTTGGTACCTTCAGCGAACGAGTACGACTTAGGTATATTTTCACAGTTTTATTATTGTCAATATTTAAGCAATGTGTAGGTATTACCTACACGTTACCGGAAATAACGATACGTTGCTGCATGGTTCTTGGAACTCATAAGAATTTAACTTCAAACAATTAAGATAGCGGAGATATGAGAAATGATACTCTAAAGAAAAATATTAATTAATTATCTAATATTGAAATGAAGAAAATATTAAGTGTTTCTTATGTTTTACCGTAGTATAAATGGAATAGGGCATGAATACACATTTATTAATAACTAGCTGTTCCCGCGACTTCGTCCGCGTGGAATTTAACTTCATTTTCTAAAATAAAAGTAAATTACTCCTTACCGTTCTTACTCAGTACCGTCAAAATAGGTCCTGCCATTTCAGAGATTAGCCGAAACAGACAGACAAAAATTGCAAAAAATATTATTTTGGTGTATGTACCGTATTTTATATTCATATGCATATAGTAAAAAACGGTTATTTCAATATTACAAACAGACACTGCAATTTTATTAATATGTATAGATGTATAAATAGGAATAATTAAGGTACAATCAGATTGTTATCATAAGGCATAAGCAAAGAAAACATCTAAGAAGTACATAATTTCATATCTTCAAATATACACATTATATTGAAACTTCCCTTATATAGAAATGACTTCCAAATACACATATATTCACGGAAGTCTAGGAAAGAGTTTTTGATTGAAAGAAACTAGTTCAAAAATAGACACATGCATATAAAAGTGTAAATTAAAAGAAAAAATAATTGAAATATCTACAATAAATATCGTGTGAAACCGGACAGGTCGCTAGTATTATAAAAAAAGATATAAACAAAGTAGGACAAGAAATAATAAAGCAAAGGGATCTAATGATAACCGCTTATCGAATATAGATATTTATGATTAAACAAAACAGAAGTGTGCGGACTTTCCCTAAATACAGTTAGCATTACAGAAATTATTATCATGAAGTGTAACTTTAAATTTATATTTTTATATATTATCTTAGCATTTATACCTTTTAATTTATACCTACATATCATAAATTGGCGTATTTTAAAGGTATGTACTCTAATAGTTTTCTGAACTGTTAATACAGTAACCCAGCGTTCTGATTATTATATTATGTTGGCTACTTATGATAATAAATATTATATAATATTCATACACATAATACGGTAACAGACTGGCTACAATACTTAACATGGTTTAATCATGTTAAGTATTGTAGCCAGTCTGTTCAGTATTAATACTGGTAATAATCTATACATACAACCGTTTTTTACGAAATGCATGTGAATATAAATACGATACATACACCAAAATATATTTTTTTACAATTTTTATCTGTCAGTCTGTCGGTCTGTTTGTTCCGGCTAATCTCTGAAATGGCTGGACCGATTTTGACGGGACTTTTTTGGCAGGTAGCTGATGTAATAAGGACTTAGGCTACTTTTATTTTAGAAAAATAAAGTTAAATTCCACACGGACAAAGTCGCGGGAACAGCTAGTTATATATATATATATATATATATATATATATTTATATTAATGTTTTACGGCTCTGGATACAAGTCGTGAACTTACGTAATTTTTTTTTATTGTTTTTTTTTGTATAAAGTACCTAGTATTTGTGTGTGTTTAAAGAAACATGCAGTCATCCCAGCAAAGTTGAATTGGATTTAATAATATATAGTGAAAATACTATAATATATGTTGTTAGAATAACCAAGACTTTGTCATTGACTGATTGCATTATTTGATTGTAAGTTGCCCTAATTTATTCTAAACTCAATTTTGTTAATTCGTGAAAGTATTATACAATCGTTATAAAATTGCCAAAATTGACTGAATATGGGAATTCTAGCAATAATGAAAAGTGTTCTTATCATTAATTTTATCTTTGTGATACTTTATCATATCTATTTTGTTTACGTACTAATACTTGGACCTATCAGCATCCATTTTTCTACCCGTTACATTATTTTACCTAACTATGTGTACAAGTAATGCTCTGTGAGGTTTTGGAACGAAAATCTGTTTTCACTTAGAATAAATCGTCCCCTATATGAGCGACCACATCTTGTAAGAAATCTACCGTATTACGTTTCTCTATAATTAGACCTATTTGGATCGAAACATACTCATCAAGTATTATGGTCCGGTATACCACACTATCGATAGCTCACGATGCCTCTGACTGAAATATTGAAAATACCTATAAAACATTTAATAGTTGCAGTCTACATACAAATCTGCAAACGCGATTAAACTCGGCAAAGTACAATGTATCGTCAAATTTAGTTAGCAAATTAAATATTCTTAGATTCTACAGTACAGTTATGTGTTGGACTATTAGGGTCTTAGAGTTGAGGCCCAAATCACTAATATTTCGTTAAAAACTAATAAAAAAAATACTATAATATATATTTATTATGTACTTACGGTCTAAGCCCAAGTTTGCTTCATGCTGCGCGCCATTGAAATGCACAACTAATAAATCTGAAAAATATGAATAATAATCTTTATGCCTGACTCATTAATTCATCAACGTTCAGTCTAAATGGGCCATCCTTATCATCTAGAGGTTTAAAAAATACACGCCAAAATATAAATCGGTCATCGTTTCGATGACACTGTGGAATGAGATTTTTATATATTAGAAGATTAAGGTGAGCAGTAAAAGCTGAGTTGTAAATAACAAACTTGGCATATAAATTTATTATAATAGAGACTACTAAGATCGACACTTTACTTGTAATGATTGGATTCCTCAGACATTATACTCATATACAAATAATCATATTCATAGTTGTATTTGTCTGGGCGCTATATACATATATACAATATACAAAGAATATTGTATATATATATTTAAGTATTTTAAGTATTTCTATCTCTATCACAAACCTACCTAGTACCCATAACACAAGTTCCGCTTAGTGGGACTAGATGGCATCGCTGTGTAGGTAAAATATAATAATACCTAGAACAAGCCACAGTCCTGATTTATTATTATTATTATATGTCTCTGGTAGCAGTAGTAATAAACTTTTAAAAATAAATAAAATATACTAATTAATAACTAAATAAATTGGTATTTAAATGTAAATTGTTAAGTTATGCTAATGAAACTATAGTATATAACACACATAATAATACAAATAAATTAATAACAAGGTGTCAGAGATCTAATCTAATTATAAGAGCATTCATAATTTAAGGTAACCAGATATCTGATAACTTTAATAACCAAATGAATTCATTTAGAATGTGGGCAACAAGACACCAAACAGGTAAGGCATAAGAGAACACACCTGATAGAATTTAAACTAACAGAAGTTGTTTCCTTAACTTGTTGACCTATGTAGGAGAAACAATATTTTTATTTAAAATTTTACAATGATAATACTTATTATACATATATAGCAAACATGTATGACACAAGTTAAATAATGTTTACATTCTAGTATGATATAATTCAGCTAAATAATCTAATTACTTGTTTACATTTAGTTGATGTTTATAAACAATTGGCATGTAGTGCATTGTAGACTTCCGAGTAACATTTTAATAAAAGCCAAACATGCGAAACCTATGAATAGAATTGAAGGTGGGATATACAGCAATTAAGATACTCAAAAAGGTCCTTCATAAATATAATCTTAAGACAATGACATCAGGTTTACTTTTAAATATTGCAATTACTGCATGTAAAGGATTTTGTGTACACAGAATAATACAAATAGGATGAACCTGTTAAAATGGTGGTTTCAGATAACAGATATAATATACCTGTATTATTAAAAGATCTTCTTTCTATTATAAATTTGTGTTTTTTAATTAAAAGAAATTGTAATATAACATTCATAAATTCAAATGTAGTAGTAAAACATTCCAGCGATATCATTAAAAGTATCAATTATTCCAAAAAATATTATGCATAAAATGTGGACTACTGTCTCATTGTACCTTGAAGTTCCATCAGGAAACCTTTGTAATAAGTTCCTGAAGAATTTTTCAGAATGACCTAATTGACCTAACTTCATGCTCATCTTGTCCTTCACTGGTGCCCCACCAGCATATATGGTTAGCAGGTGTATGTGTATGGTGTAGCAGGTGGTGTGTATTTTTTTTTAATTTAGTATAATATAATGTACTTATTATACTAAATTTTAAAAAAAGTACAGAATGGAATGAATAGTCTTAGCTTCTACATTACTCTTAACTATGTAGAATATTTATATATAATGTTATATATAGTGATATAAAACTGTACCTTTTGGAGATAAAGTGTCATTATGCATATTTTGTGATTCCATGTCATCATTCTGGGTAACATCATTGTCAAAATTGTGGCCTTCAGAAGCTGGGTAATCACTTCCAATTACTCTAGGAACATGGAGAACCTGTTGCATTGTCTCTTGGTAAGATTCCAAAATGTTTTTCATGTCCTTTTCAATTTTCAAATTTACTTGTTCTTTTAACAATTCTATTTGTACCCAGGACAAGTAGCCGATCGTGAAGGACATAGAGATACTAAGCAGTACTAATAATAAATTTAGGACTAATGCAACTTTTAATTTCTTGGGAATTAAAACAGACAGATGTGTTCTTATCTCTATAGGACCGCGACACTCTAAAAAAAAATACCACGGTAATTTTGAGAAAGTGCTCCTTACAAAAATAGCAGTTAAGTTATTATGTATGTATTGATAGAAAAGTTTAATACCAACCGTTTTTAGGCTCCTCAGTGTTAACAGCACTTTTATCAATATAAACTGTATTATTTCTAGCCTTCACTATTAATTGAGTATTATTACTTTTTACTATTTCACCATCGCATGTGATTTTAACGAAGTCTTCCATTTTTCTATAATTCCTTGTAGTTCCCAGAAACGACGATCTGAATGCATATATTTTACAAATCCCGCATTTTGCGTGTATCTATAAAACAAATATAAAAATTTAGAATATTGTAGTTCGTTGTTTACAGAGTATTACAATATTGCAAATAATTGAATTAGGGTGAAGCACAAACATTTACCTATACATACACGAAAAAATATTTTTAGTGAAGAGTGCTAAAACTTCGTTTCGAAAAAAGAACTCAAAGATTGTCGGACGCGTACATACGTACGATAACAAAATAAACTAAAAGAACGACACAACACACACGGCGGAACTTTAGAACGTAACTACATTACAGACTATACACACACTAGATTGTACGCTTCCATTCCGTTATTTCTTTGATACCTAAGTATTTAATTCAATAAATATTTTGTATATAAATAGATAGACATTTTGTAACAATTTTTCTTATCTGTGGTAATAATATTATCATTTGTCAGAAGATAGTTCTTTTTTGTTATTTATTTTTTTTATCTATAGGAATATGTATTATAATGATGTCATGAATTTCTACTGAAATTTAAAGTTGGACCATATTGAGCTTTTATTTGCTAGTATTGAATAATGATCAATCAAATTTAAAGATCATACTTTATTATTAACCACTTAATATTGTTGATAAAATATTATACATTTGTTCAAAAGGGGGTAGTTTCAGTTTTCTAATTCTACAGCATAGAACATAGCAACGTTTTATGAGTTGATACCGACGTTTTGAGTCGGAACAGAAATTAATTCTAGTTAAGCATATGGAATTAATTATCCTGAAAAAAAAATTGCACAGTTTGACATAAAATTTGTTTTATTTTCACTGAAGCGGGCTTGAATATAAAGATAAAACCTTCAAAATATTGCTTGATAATACGATATGTCGTATTGAAAAATATTGTTATACAAATTAATATCTACTAGTAGAACACAAAACTTATTATTATAGTTTGTGCTAATCACGCTTTTTCATATATTTACTTTACTCTTTGTAGTCACGTAAGCCCACTACTAAAGAATATACCTACTACTCAATAATAGGCTGCACAGTTCGTGATATTTTTAAAAAAATTAGACAATAATTTGGTAAAGGTTGCCATAAGTAAACAATAGTAATGAAATTGAATAAGAGAACTACTTTAATTATTGTTAATATACTTCCTTAGTAAATCACAGAAAACGAACGTAATTTTTTCGATTAAAGTGGTTAGTAATTTATTACGAATAGTAACCTTTTTTAACTTTAAAGATCTTTGCGAGACAGTCCTAATTGCACCTGTGAAAATGTACTCGTTTTTTATTATTTTATTTGGTACACACATAGCATTCGGTTTATGAAAGGACGTAAGCTGTTTTTGTTTCATTTGACATTGTTACGAACGGGAGTTACCTATATAACTTAAGTATTTATTGTATAAAAAGCATTAGGCAGACAAGTCTAGTTACCTACCTACTTACCTATAATGACAAATTAACACAAAATATATAATTATGTATTAAATATTATAAATATTCACTTAAATGTAAAATAAATTATATTAATGTAAAATATCGGTGTGTTGATATATAAATAATGCTTAAAATCAGGTTATTTCAGAAGTCGGAAGTATGAAAACACGTTTCGGTTTATTACATTATCAGAATTAGGTACTTGTCATTTATCATTTATCTTCAATAAATAATATCTTGGGAAATAAATTTTTAGTAGGTAATGTAGTGTTACCAGTAAAAAAATAAAAACAATATTGGCGAGACTATAATGAAAACAAAAATAAAATCATACCTATATTATTAACACCAATAAAATAATCACCATTACGTATGTATTTATTTATAAAACCTTCCTTATAATTTATTCATCACTAGTTTAGCAAATATACCGGTACCGTGTACCGTGAAAGTATTTCATCAAATATATTTTTTTATTTCGTTATAACTTTTAGTGACGATTTTTTATTACGATTAATATATTATTACAAAGTATGTACCTGCCTAAGTAATTTCATTAGTGCAATTGTATTAACAATTGAGTAGGTACTCCAAAATAACTAAGTAACTACAAATTTTCTAAACGTTTAAAAATGAGTAAATGTATGTTTAATGAAAAGGTTAAATAATGTGTAGGTATAGATGAATTATAAAATTATTTAAGCTAATTTAAAGTTAACTTAATGAAAATTCTTTAATTACCGCTCATACCTTTGTTGTGAAGTTTTATTTTATAGGTAGGTAAGAAGGAAATATAGAAAATGACTTGGATTACGAAGATATAGATACAGTTCCTAATGAACGATTGTCAAGACAGGGATGTGTGAATAAAAAGTATTATATAAGAACTATAAATTTAAAATAATAAATACGTGTCTGAGTATACAACACCTATTACAATTACACTATAATTTATTTTTAAGATGACGAAATCCATTTGTATCGACTTGCCTTTTAAATACAACAAATGCAACTTATCTAATCTTCATAGTATATAATGAACCGATACGATAATTGGAACTTTAATAAAAGAGCATATTTCTTTAGAAGGCCACTCAGCCGGTGTTGCCAAAACGTTCCAATCCAAAAAAGCCAATTCACCGGTGTTGCGAGCGCACATGAGCGGCGGAAGATATACTATTATATTCTTTTTCTTCTTTACTATAAAAATGAATTTCCCGTGATATCTTATGCGCGTCTGACCGGAATTATATAAGCTTATAATAAGTACATGAATATTGTCATGTAAGGAATGAATGTGTAATAAACAAAGTCACTTTCATATCTATATCTAATATTTGTTAAGAAATTAGAAAATATTTTGGAATCAAATATAATTTGATAAAATTTATATGTTGACATCAAATACAGAGATATTTTTAAAGTGACATATTCTATAAAAATGTACAAACACCTAATGGACGAAATGAATTTCATAGTAGGCTCTACTACGGATTTGTGTCTTTACCTGTCTTTGTACCTGCCGATTCTAGAGTTCATTGTCAACCGACTGCAAAAAGGTAGGATGATTCCAATCACCTATAGATATTATTTGTGAGCATATTATTACTTTGTCAAGATTAAAATTATTACCATACTAGCTGTGCTACCCGCGTGAAGTTTATAGTCTATATGTTATTCTGATGTATAAGCTATATTACTGTAAGATTCATCAAAATCCGTTCAGTAGTTTTTGTATATATAGTAGGTAACAAACATCCATTCATACTCACAAACTTTCGTTTATAATGTTAGTAAGGTTAATTTCCTTTGCGTAGTTTAGGAGCAGTAAACAGAGAAACAGTAGGCAGAGGCATTCCTATACCTTTATTGTTAATATCTACTATCAGAGGTAAATATATTTATACCTATATGAAAGTATACTTATTATCTACTTAAAAGAATTATAAAATTTGTTGTAAGGTGATACAGGACAGTATACTTACCTAGTTTAATTTTGTTAAAAGTTATCGCGTATCATGTCTAGTAGACACTCAATGTAACCTAACTTATAGGTATTGCCTATTTCCGGCGCCAAATATGTTGAGTACCTGTTAGTAGTGAAGTTACTGAGTAATCAAGAAATTTATGCCTCGGTTACTCATAATAATATTATATATATATATATATATATACCGTGACAACCAGTGGCGTAGTTAGGTAACCAAGAGCCCTGGGGCAAATCAAAAAATGCTGCTGAGCAGTTGGCAGCCCTAAATTACAGTTTTATTAAAAAGCACATATTACACAAATTACATTATCCGGCAAATTAAAAAAAAATAATTTAGGGGAATTCCGAAGGCATAACTTTTGAATTTCTCTCAACTGAGTTGCCATAATTGAGTTGCAACCTGTTATATTTATTATGAAAATGGGAGAAATTTTCGAAAGTTCAGTTAGATCGAGATTTTCTTGTAAGAGTTCGAGGGCTCCCTGAGTTTTAGAGCCCCTGGGCACTGCCCCGCCTAGCCCCTAGGTTATTCCAGATGAGGTGATCAGAAATATCGTTTAAACACGTTGCTTAAATACGCGCTACATTTTGATTCAACATCGCAGAGAGTGATCATCATCTCTCGTATTTTTAAAGAACGGTGTTTCTATCAGCACATCATAAATATATCTTACTAATATTATAAACGTGAAAGTTTCTGAGTATGGATAGATGTTTGTTACTCTTTCATGCAAAAACTGCTGGATGGATTTTGATGAAACTTCACAGTAATATAGCTTATTATACATCAGAATAACAAATAGGCTTATAGTTTAAAAATATATTGTATAAATTGGACGGAGTATAATCAATGTCAAGGAAGTGTGGTGTCAGACGAAGTTGTGCGGGTCAGCTAGTTAAGTCAGACGCAACGGTTTTGGTTTTATCCAGTATTCAGTTTTATCCACTTTTGATTCCAAGCCGGGGTATTAAACCAAGGGGTAGGTCACGATGTTTTCAAATAAAATATATAGGTACAGACAATAAATAAAAATGTGTGTCATCGTACGACCTTCAACTTTTTTACACGGAACAATAAATGTCAGATTTTGCGCTAATGAAATTGGAATCTTAGGTAATTAGTCACCGTTACACGATTCTAGTGTTTAGTATGATGATTGACTCACGCATTATGATTAATGCTTTATCTGTACTTTCTAAAATTCAGGCGAAGCAGGATGAGTACTTTTACCAACAACTTTTTGAGCAGTAATAGTTATATAATAACAACTAGTTATGCTGTTAAAGCTGTATGCCTCTTGGATCTATAAAAATTTTCAATATTATGTAATTAACCTTGATGAAATTTTGTCCATAATATAAGGTAACTGAAAACAACGTATCACACAAGTCAAGTTTTCTAAACAAATTTGTTTCAGAAATACATGTAATTGGTAAACTGGAATTTGGAACAAAAGGAACCATCTTTAGCTCATTTTAAGCACAGAATAATAGAATAACCGGATACAGTTTTGTATGGCTAAGAAATTATTATTGTGAGATTAATTTTCATTTCTATCTAGTTATTTATGACTTCTGAATGCAGATACGACGTTTGATAATGTAATATTACCATAAATCAGGCTACCTGGCTATTGCACGTATACTACTTGTATATTTTATACACTATCAAATGATATATGCATATTATCATTTATATATTTTTTTAATTAATATATTCGATATTAACACACTATATACGGTTTTCTTATCAACAACATATTTACTTACAGAATCGAATGTAGTTTATAGATGTATAAAATTTCAAATAGTGGAATAATTAAAAAGGGTCTTTACGTCACCCCGTATATTGTATGCCGTACGTGATCAACATTATTTATAAATATTATTTATAATTCTTAATTTTGTTTAAATCTAAGATACGAGTAAATACTAAATTATTTACGTAATTAATTTTAAATTGAATAAAGTAGGTGCGTACATAATTTAGTTGTCAAATTCGAGAGGAACTTCCACTACACATCCTATGTGGTTATAGGCCACTTGGTCAATACAATGTGGTTATAGGTCATTTGGAAAATACACTCTCTATGCTGAGGTGATAAAAACGATAGCTTTTGAGAATATCCTTCAATTCTTGTCCCTGAGGGGTCTAGGTAGCGAACTCTGAAAAAGGACTAGCACAAAAGATCTCTATAGGTCGTAGTATTACAGGTCTAAAACATCTATTAATAGCCTAAACACCTCAATAAAAAAAACATAACTTTACGTTTTTTTTATATGACTGGAATGGTAAACATGCTGACGGTACACCTGACGGTAAGTTTACCACTCACATGCTGTTTTATATATACGTCAACAAACCCACGGACATCACATGTCATCACATGAACCACGGACATGTGGGGTCCCCACGGTATCATACACATTACATAAATACAAGGGATGGTCATGTTTAAATAACCTATAATTTCACTTGGGTTGCCAAAGCAACCTGTTTGGCGCCAGAAATAGGCAAAAATAATGTTATCAGTACCAATGGCAACGATGTTCTGCAAAGTTAACCTTGGCAAAACAAGGACATAGAGAAACGCACACGAAAATTAAAGGTTTTGTAACAAATTCTTACAAGTAAATTGGGCACATTTCCGTGTACACAACAATTTATTATGTATGTACCGGTAACATTATAATGTAATATTAATTGATTATGTAACAAAATTACAAGCATTTCTCCGTGCGTAATGACCGAGTGAAATTGATTGATCTGGGAAATAAGATCTATTGATATCAAGGTATTGTTTACAATTTATTGAAATGGGGCCACCTTGCGGCGTAATATGAGTGTTTTTTTGGGATGACAGGTCATTATAGTGCTGATGATCTTAGTTTTATATACAACATGTTTGTGTACCTATCATACGTAATTACACTTGTATACGAGTACTTGGCCTACTTCTCAATTGAAATAAATACAAAACTTCCTTTTTTGTGTAATAGAAAAGGAAAACATACTGACGACTCACCTGATGGTAAGTGTCAGTCGTTGCTTATATGTATGGATGCATTATGCACATGATGTTATTATATAGGTTGTATATAGCGGACTGTGTTCTGATGAATTGTTTGACATCGACAGGGAATTCATCCCCACACGCTGGTACCTAAGTAGTCTAGGACTATGCGGTTTCAGAGGAGCTTCTTTACACTTAGATTGTGAAATGAACTACCTACCGAGGTATTCTCGAGAGACTACAGCATGGGATTTTTCAAAAAGGGTATATTAAGGTTTCTTAAGGATCGGCAACGCGCATGTGACACCCCTGGTGTTTCAGGCCTCCATGGGCTACGTAACCGTTTACGGTAACCGATGAGCCGTATGCTTGTTTGCCACCTACGTGGTATAAAAAAAATGTTTCAGAGCCGTCACTGTGGTAACAAAAATTAATTATTAAGGAAATCAACCACTGTCTCTCGGATTTTTTTGATCTGTTATCCAGGGTTTGCAGTCATTGGAGATGACGCAGTGTATTTACTACATAAATCTTCTTTATGTGTAATATTTCAATAATGTTTATACGTTTGTGTTCTAAGCTTTGACGTAAAAACGACTGGAGGAATTGGGGTGAAATTTTCACAGAATATCATTAAAAAACCTAAATGTGTGTGAAAATAAAGCTAAAGCAAATCTTAGGGGAAATGGGAAATATGCATTTTATTATTATTAATTTTAAATATGCCATCTAATATTGTTTACACCAGACACAGAAAATAATTAAAATAATACATTTTCCTGAACTAATATAAAAAACGGTGAGACTGTTAAGGACGCTAAGGAATCACTTCCATACAATCTTTAGGTAGAGAAAGTAAAGATATGAAAAGAGAATAGGAGCAGGTGACGCATGTTATTATAGAAATAATATATATAGATAATTAATACAATTATTTAAAACCTTATAATATAATTATTTATAACCATAATTACTAGTGTATTTTTGGAAAGACAAAGGGATGAGAGAGATTATGAGGCAAAGGGACAATTAGAAATTAAAGGGAAATATAATGTAATTCGACAGAGACATTGAAGCTGGCAAGTGATTCAATGCAATGAATTGAACAGAGGAGAGACTTCCATAATCTAACAGCCTGGGTAGAAAATTATGTAGAACAGAAGGAAATGAGTGGGAAATCTATACCCTGTTATATATCACTATTATTATTATAATAACAGCGTTGTATAAATGCTTTGTTTATGTTTGTCTTATGATTATCCTCAATAGATAATTTAAGACGTTTAAAATAAACGCAAAAGCGGTCCCCACTAGTGTAAAAGAAAGATATACTGTTATAAATTAACCTAATTTTCATAACCAGAACACGAAAACAACAAACACGTTGCGTAACCACCTGTTTTCACACTTCTCAATGTTTACCACAATATCAATTGTTTGAATTCAAACTAAGGTGTACTACTGCCATTTCCCACAGTGGCGATGACCACGTGTTGGTCGTTACACATAATCGATGTGTAGAAACTGTAACTCGATACTCGATAACATCGTGTTGTGAATCACGCACGCACTATGACCATCGTAGTACATAATCGTTATAATTCGAGGAAAAAATGTGCCGAGGTAGTTTAAAACTTCTGCTCTACATTTAAGAACTATATTTATGCGCAGTCGTTAATACACATTGTGTGTATTCCATGAAAGGTAAGTTTGTTTGATACAATGACTGTTGACATTCTTGTATAGTTTGTCATCCCAGAATCGATATAGGTTTTCTGGTATTGTTGCTGATAATTTACTTACGCGCATATCGGCGGTGCCGCGCTGTCTGGATGCTTCGATGATAGCAGTATCGACATATTGCTGAAAATGATTTGTATGTAGAAATCTGTTCTATTAGCTTTAAAGACGAGAAATCACTCACACACAGTCATGTAGTCTACTTGAAAATATATAAGAGTTGAATAACTTTATTAGCAGTTTATTTTATATAATTGAAATGCCAAGGAAGCTGACGACCCACTAGATGGTAAGTAGTAACTATCACCTGTGTCATACTCATGGATACAATAGCTTACACCGTGCGAGGAATCGAACCCGCGACCATCAGAAGAGAATTATGTGTATGTAAATATATAGGTATACTATAAAATATGTATATATAAGAGTAAAAAATCTGCATGTTATTTAAAAAAAATACTTAATTGCACTAGTGCGAAACCGGGGCGTTCGCAAATATGGTACCTACTTATAAAAAATATAGATCAAGTACAAAAAAGTGGGTCAATCAATGTCTAGAGATACACGGTGTATAATTACAAAAGGAGCATATAAAAACAAAAGGAACTGACCTCGACCGGACATTTGAGACAATTCTTATAATATGATGTCATAAGTGGTTTCCAGATGGCTCTTGGATAGTTTTCAAGGCTACAGCAACTGCATCGAGAAAATATTAGCTTGTACAAACTTAAGATTATCTGATTACATCAGGCCTTGTGAATTATTATTTAAATATTAGCTAGAGACATTATTATTTCTTCATATCACATCATGTTGCTGTGAAGATACCCCTAACTTTTGTACCAGCGAGTGCAATCACACAAAGATTGATTTCAAATCTTTGTTTTATTGAAAAGTACCGATTTTTCACATTTGGCGAAGAAATGACATTGATAATTTCATATCTGTACTAAAATGATAATAATATTAAATATAATTGGTACTGTAGTTTTAGTGATTTTTTAAATCAAACGAAGTTTTAAATTAAAGAACTGCAACTATAATCAAATCCTATAACAGCCAAAGTTATTGAATGTCTTCTTCCCATTAAAGAGACTATTGGTACAAACAAAATTATTATACAATATTTCATTGTGTTACTTTATATAAATCGAATAGTTCTTAACACAGTCAAAGTTAGTTAGATTATAAGTTTCATCGTTCTACTTAAAAACTGATGATGATTTCATACAACCTTCATACAATCTTCTCTTTCAACCCCTTACAATACTTTTACAGGACGAATATAAGTGGCATAATGACTTTGACCTAATCCTTTTATTTGGGGTCAGTGCAGTTACCTACAGTTCTCCATTTACAATTCTCTATGTCAGCCGTTGTGTCTGTATCTATTAAATATACTCACATGCAATTACGGATGTATAATATTTCATGTAGTCCTGTCTACATATTTGGTCCTCTTCGCCCTTTTTACTGTCATATATTCTCATCATCACATCCCAAAACATGTCTAACACCGTACCAAAGTAGTGTTCTTCTTCAAATTATACTCGTTTTATTTTAACATTAATTCAGGTTTCTTCGTGAATATTCCAGAATTTTATTACATGAAAGCACGACCTCAATCCGCCGAATCGATTCAATAGAACAGTGCGACTCAGTGCAATAATATTTTAAATATTATTTTATAAATGAAATTACGAAAAAGTTTTGGTACATAAGGTACTCGTAAATTATATTCTAAATTATAACGTTTTACTCGATTTTACGCGGGCACACGTCGTGATATACTATTAGCAGATGCTAAATTTCTAATATATGTATAACTTCTCAGCGAAAATAATAATTACCGAAAGTGAATTGTGGATGTTTATGAAGTTTCGGGACGTTTACAATCCTAATGAGAATATCCAAGAGGCTCCAAGGGCAAATGGGTAACAGAATAAATGCAATCAACTAAAGTAGACGATCGATAGAGTCTTACGTATAAGTTTTAGACTACCAGTAGCATTTACGTAATAACGTAATTTTGTGTGGAAATTGTGATTCTTAGAAACGGTTAAGGGTTTTGGTTTTGTATTTAAATGTTCAGTTTCTTCTCTCGAACAAATCTATCTTTTTCTTTGACTTTGACTTTCACTGACTTTGTTTTTAAGTTAAAAAGTAAAGAGTAATAACTTTGCTTTACGGTTAAATTAAATATAAAGTTGATAATAACTTGAATTTAAACTCAGTTTTTTTTTGGTTTGCTGGTTTCTGATCAGTTTAACTAGTCTGGATTTCCACTATCCCGATTCACAAATATTTATACATACTATATATACAGTATACACAGATAACATAATATTACATATTTATACATAAACATGTACAATACTTATTATGACTACTTATTATACGATGTCTGGGTTTTTATTATTGGTACATACTAGTATATGTTTGTCGCTTAGTATTCATTGCAGCACTTAGCAGATTGAAGACTGCTAGCATCAGACTGAAGAAGAAGACTGCTAGAAGCAGTCCTGGAGAAATATAACCCCGGATTCTTCAAGTCTATGGCGAATTATATTTTCTGAGTAAGCGCACTCCATCAAAGGTCTTGCCATAATTTCCCATCAGATAAGGTAAAACTAAGCGCCAACCTATTAATAGTAGGTTTAAATAAATAAAAAAAGGATCTAGGTGGCGCTGTGGAGTACTGACCAAATGCATGGTCAATTTCTCTTCTTTTTAAAAATAAGTTTGCATAATATTTTATAGAACCATTTTATTCCTAGCCATGCCCATGTTCATAGTTATTTATTTATATTTGATCCTGTCGTCGTTTGAATCGCATAATGTGCAAAGCGCCTTACGGTGTGTTGTTATGCGCCTGTTTATTAATAAGCAACTAATGTGCAGGGGTTTATGTAATGTAATATTGACAGTAAAGGATAATAGGTGCTCATAATAGAAGTATACTCCCATTCTAGTACCTATAATGCGAAAGGATGTTTGTTTGTTCTTTTATTACATAATCACCACTAAATATCTAAATGGATTTTAATGAAACTTGATGCAAAAATAGATAAGGATGGATAAATATTTAATTTTGTCTAAAAAATCACTACAACATAAAAACGACAAAAACAAAAGTATAAACAAGATTTCAGCAGTGTTTATACAGACGTTAGAAGAAGCCAGATCAATCTATATATGTACGAACAGTAATATATATTTAAAATTGGCCTGTACCAAAATAAATATGTATACATAAGTATTAAAATCATAAAAACTATTATGCTATAAACAATAATAATTCCATAAATAGTATTAGTAGTATGATAAAACCTGCAACCCAGCTACACGTATGTTAATTGTTTTCATTGACGTTAAAATGTAATATTAATTCAAATTAGAATATATCAGTCCTATAGCTATTATTATTCTCTACCAGACAACTTTAATATTGATCTTATAATCCCTCTAATATAATATAATCTTATTCCGAGAGCGCCATGGTCTAGTGATTTTTTACCCGACAGAGAGCCAATTTATATTTCTAACTATCTGTCCGGTAACCGAAAACACCTATAACAACCTTAAATTGATCATAATGACGGTACCGGTTGGTAGGTTCATACCTATGATGTATTCGTCAAGTATTGCGGTCACTAATAACGTCTGTTTACCCCACCTGATATAATAACTGTGAAGATATATTTTTTATCTAATATTTACAATTCTTGTGTATGTTGTGTAAGGTGTCTAGTGTTAGTTAGAGTAAGTTGCTGTACTTCTTTGAAATGGCTTAACCGATTATGATGAAATTTTATATATATATGGTAGATCCGAGAATGGTCGTTTTGATGTCGACACGTCACGATTTTACTTTTTGTGAACCTGATGTAACGCAAATAAATAATTCATTCATTCATTAAATTTTGATGGCAAATCAACGTTTGCCGGGTCAGCTAGTTTTATAAATATCTTTAAAAGATTTTCCACACAAAGCAATGAGGTAAATAGCGGTACAAATATCACTTGAAAAACAGGTAATAAAAGATAGAATAGAGTGAATATAAAATATCGTTACTTGATAGCATTTTACAATTTCTTTAAAAGATTCAATCAGAACTTCTGTTCCGATATCGACACTAACAAGAAGACTTATTTGAACTTTGCATTTAATGCAATTGCGTTTGCAGTCAGAACAGAACTTTTTCAAGTACAACATCAATGCACTTTTGCAATTCAATTCTGCCAGGCGCTTAGCATTTTTACGCGATTGGCGAAGAATATTATTTAATTTTCTTTGCCAATGGTTTTCTGCTTTAATTGTGAGGCAGCTGACGCTTTTTGTATAAGATTTACGGATAATATTTATTAAATTATCGATACGGCATGTTAAGCGTTGCGTTTACGATATCGTCGGCAGTTAACAATAGATACCTTTGACACCACCTGGGCAACAGTTATGAAGATGCATCCAGTTATATATACATAGTGATATTTGAATGCGAAAGTGTATTTGTTTATTATAACTTTACGATTAAACGGCTGATCTTATTGAAATTTGACGTGACGATAGATTGTATGTATTTTGAGGCTACATAGGCTATTGCTAGTACTTCTTTTTTGAGACGAAAGACACCAGAAGTTATAGATAGCAACTTACATTATATAAGTAAAACTATGTCTAATGTACTAAATATGTTAAATTAGTTTATATATAGAAAGGAATAGAATACAGTATGTATAATATACGTACGTATAATTTTTATTTGTTCCGCCGTTGTATATTTGTAGATGGAGTAAGAGATGAGAGAATCTCTGCATTCCAATTGAGTCTTAAATTAGGCTTGTCTAATAATTCAACTAAACACATAATGAAATATGAAATAATTTTATAATAATATTAATAAAATTTCTTTAATCTATTCTAAATTTCATACCTAGATAGGTGTACCTTCTCGACTAATAATATAATAATAACATACCGGATTAGGTATGAAATTAGTAATAGGGGGTATTTTAAATAATTTTTTTTTCTTAAAATTGGTATATGAAAAAAACCTATAAAAATTCTCAGATTAAATAGCCCCAGAGTAGGGAAGCGTGGGATTTAGTTATAGTAAATTACAAGATTAAATATTACCATAATCTGCTGTCCACATTTAATTGTTTCATTATATAATTCCTTCTTTTACTTTTCATGCTTGCTTTTTCAACTTTTCACTCTCACACCTCTATTCTTGCCTTTCACATATTTATTTGGATATTAAATATGTTAATATTTAATATCCAATTCTACATAGGTGTATACATATGTAGGATAATTGGATATTGCATATTAAATTCAATTTTGGATACATATAATATATTAAATTATAAAACAAAGTTAACTAAATAAGATCAATACCGTTATTAGTAACTAGATCCTTTATATCAGGTGATTTTTACCTATTTGGTTGATTATTTATAAGACTTTAGGTACTAAATAAAGGATGCGGGCGTGCAATTGAGATAAATATTCATCTGATTCGAATAACATTCCCGTGGGCACGTCTGCGGGCTTATAGAACATTAATAATGGATCTGTCCATAGTTATAGATCTTAAAAAAAGATCTGTCACCAACAAGTATATTTATTACAGATCTTCATTAAATACTTTTGGTGACATATTTTTATATCTATTTTAACGTTTTTGGTGCAGTACTAGCTACCTTGGCCAATAAATAAAATTTAATAATCTACACCAAAAAAGACCCTTTCTTTATTTATATTTAATCAACACCCTAGAAAATACGTTTCAAGCTTCTACCTTTTTTTTTCTTACCTAAGAAAGGACGATACTTCTATACATCCTTTCATCGCCCCTTGCAATGCCTTACAGCCCTTTTTCCACATTAAAAAGTAGCCTAAGTATGTCCTTTCTCAGGGTTTAGACTATCTGTATCAAAATTAATTTGAATCGGTTGAGTAGTTTTAGCGTGAAAGCGAGACTGGTAGACAGAGAGAGATTTAAAAGGTAAAGTTTGTGAGGTTGTAAGATTTTTTTTACCCCTAGAACGTTACGTTTTATGTGAGAATCATAGGCTATATAATATCACGCCACAACTAATATACAAGGTGCCGAGCTGCAATGAAAATGCAATGTACATGATGTTTGATGGACTTGAGTATGAGAACAAAGCATGCCGGTGAACTATTTCAGTTTAGACATTAGACACGCCTAATTTAAGACTCAATTGGAACGCAGAGATTCTCTCATCTCTTACTCCATCTACAAATAGACAATCGCGGAATAAATGATACATACTCGTAGCAGTGAAATCAAAGTACTACAGAATGACTACATACCAATCAATAAATGCTTTTTTGAAATACTATTTATTATATTATGCACTGTGGCTATGCATTATGTAATCAATATGATAACATGTCACAGAAATACATTGTCACATCCGTTGTACCATGTGGACGTAACAATGTACCACATTGTGATGTCAACTATTGAAATTTCGAATATTAAGGTGAAAAGCAGCACCAATGATGATTTAGACTATATTTCGTATAGACGGTTACCGTTTTACATTAATATTCTATTTGATGGGATTTCTTTTTATACATTGTATCTAATTTTCATGAGCTTGTTTATTATTAGTGCTAATTATTATATATAGATGAACGAAAAGAGTGTAAAATATATCTATATTTTTTTTCTGAGGGCTAAAAAGCTGGCTGCTTATTTGATGGTAAACGTTAACCCAGGTATGTACATGAAAACACCATAGTCACATTGTCCAATGTTAGGACTAGATTTTGACCAGTTTGCTTTACGATTCCTATTATTTTAAATTCAGATATACATACCACTAATAATTACATGTATTAATAACAGCTGCTTGCTTCCGGCATGCTTTATATCCGGTAAAATGGATTTTGCCCAGCTTTTTCATTATATAAATAGCTGAATGAATCACGATAAAACTACCTCTTATTAAGATGGTATTCACAGGTTTCTTCTATCACTTTAAACTTGAAGTTATATTACTATTTTTTATTATGTTATTTTACTGGTTAGTACTTACCTACCTTTGACTTTACTTGACATTATCTGCCTGACTTATTTTAGTTAGCTTAAGAATTGTTATTCAGCAGTGAAATTACAGGATAAGAGGTATGTAAGATGTCATATGGAATATCAATATCTGAGTGATATCACGGTGTCACATGAAGAAATGTCCGTAGTTTTCTTCATGTGTATGGGAAATGGTAGCACTTACAATTAAGTCTGCAGTTTGTTAGTGTGTACAGTTTATTATTGTGAGTTTGTTTTAAAAAAATCACTGAATACAAATATCGATTGCGTCCTTGGTTTCTACAGAGCCTATAATTTTTGAGAACAAATATGGGGACTGATTTATCTTAATTAATTAATACCTTGGGGTTATCTATCATAACGAAATTATACAGCGAGCAGTTGGAGGTGTGCAAGCATAGCGAGTGTTATGTGTTCAGTTCAGTCAAGTCGGGCAAGTCTGACTCCGGGCGAAGCACCGATCACTATTCGCTGCGCTTACGCCGCACCGCACCGCACCACCGCACTCGTAACAAGCCCGCCTCGCTGAGTACCCGTGTGCTCCTCTACGGGATAGAGTTCGGCACGTGTATTACTGAGGCCATCTCTTTCACAAACATCCCTCAATTCGCCTTTCCGCGAATTCAGATAATGTATCGATAGCCGCTAATTGGTCATAGTGTCAACGGTGTCGGGTGACAACGCGAGTGTAGTGCCAGGTGATGGCTGAAAAACACGCACTTATACCTGAACCCGTCGCAATGTATACACAGACGGAGACGATGAAGGAAGTGAAGGACTTGTCACAGAATTTAGTGAGCGGTGACTTCGAGAGACAATATAAAGGTGGAATGGCAGACAAATATACGAAACGGAGGCAAGCCTGGTTCGTAACATTAGCTGTGGCAATTTCAGCCATTGTGATTTCTCTACTTGTGCTGACAGTTATAAGGGAAATAGAGATACTTCGCCTTCGGCAAGAAGTCAATGATTTGACAGCCAACATGATTGCTGTATCAGCTAATGTGAACTCCTTGAACAACAAAATCTCAAACAACAAGCTGTTCAATGAATTCGAAAGTCTTGACGACGCGGTAAGTGTTTACAGTCTGTAACATTATATTGAAATAAAAATATTCCAATATATTCAAAATAAAACCTCTACCTGGACCGGGTAGAAAAGGATGGGTTTCAAAAGTCAGAGATCAGTGAGCGGTGTTTACATGTATACGTGTAATATTGGATAATATCAACCAAGTCATTGATCAAAGAACGCAGATGAGATTTAAAATATTGTAGACTATAATTATTTACATTTAAAATTAATAGACGTAATTATAGGAATTGAAATAATTTTATAACGCTGCTCAAAATGTTACATCTACTTGTACTACATTATTGTAATATATTTTGTGATGGAATAGACAAATATCAGATGCTATATAACGAATAGCTACTTGTTACGAGTATAAACATCTTTCTTATATAATTAATGAAGTTCTGTTGTGATCAGATAGATAACACACTCTGAGTTCGGCCAAGGTCTTTTGTCATATACCTACCACCCGTTATTACAGCCAATTGACTTAAATTGAATCGCTTAGTTAATTAGACGTAGAGGAATTTTGTTCAAAACAATTTTCTTATGAGAGCACACGGTCTCCTAATTAATTTGTTATCTTTGGAATTTAGATTTAGTTGTTTGTCAGTATTGAGATAAAAATAAAGCTAGTACTATTGCAGAGATCATTAATAGTACATAACTTTATTAGATAATACAATCTTCTGTTGTTTTGAAAACTTGCAAACCAATTTCAAGGTTAGGACCGAATGCAATGTGTGAAATACGATGGTCAGGATGATATTATGTTGTTTGCTATCATGTTGCTTGGGAACTGGTTTTGTTAGCTGAGCAAACGAGTTTTGAAATGTAAATAAAAAATGTCGACTTTATACATATATAGCTTGAGCTTATATTATCAGATTGGAATCTAATTTCGAGATTAAACTTTTCTAACAATTTTGTGTTTGAATTCTTTTATATAAAAATGTTTCTGATATTATTACACTTTAGTCAAACTGTTCATCAGAGTCCACTAAAGTTGGAGAAGACGAGAATCATTACCGACATCTGTGTGGGTTATCCACATTTATTTATTCCTATAAATCACAGCAGTAATAGAAGTAGGTAAGTGTAAAGTTAGAAGAATATTTCAAACTAACTTACTCGCGATTCTTGTCCTTCATTACATTTTTGCCGTTTTTGCAATAAATTTAACTTCAGGTCCACTTCTGTCGATCGTAGCGTGATGTTATATATTATATAATTTTGTTAAGCTTTTTAATTTTAGGTTCTTAGTTGTACAATTAAGTTATGTAAATATTCTAAATATACATGTCATAGATATAGATATTACAAATAATTTCTTTTTAAGGCAGATTATATAATTAAATTAACTTTGTTAAATAGGATATCCAGCATAAAACAATTTTCACAATCGGTACAGTAATTCTTCAGTATTAATGTACCGATTATGAAAATACTCCAATAATCCAAACTCACAAACTTTACCTCTTTTAAATTAGAGGCGTAGGTGAACCATCAACTAACTAAATAAATTGCAAATAACTAAAGACATATACTTAATGCATCGGCTAAGATGTTTGTCTATGCTATGGTTAACATTTAAATATCCAATATGATTTACGAATTTATTGCTTCAATGTCAGTCGTCATCGAAACTAATATTATAAAATAATAACTAATGTCTTGACTATTTGTAGTAAAGTGAAAAAATACTTGACAGATGTTGAAAAACCTTATCCCTTTAGAAAGCTACGTTATGAGGTAGTAACATGGGCTACCTATTTTTTAAGCGGACATCATTCTAAGATACGTCGTACTTGTATAATAATTGGTAATTCTATAATAATATCTTATTTATCCCTGACCATAAGTAGGCTAAGTGTCATGTAGGTGTGTATGTACCTATAGATAGGTGCAGTACAGTTAAAAGCCAAAATGCATGCTCTACTTACTCTGCCCGATGACGCCCAAACAATGGCTTCCAGACAAATAAATCATTAGAAATTTATTTATATTAACGATGAGCTTTCAACAGTTTATGAGAATTTAAATAAACATTAAAAATAATAGGCGTCGTTAATAACTTAATGGCCGGACGAACGTTTAAGATGATGTTAAGGAGTTGTTCTACTCGTTATTACCGCCTTAATGAAGGCTACAATAATTGTTTTAACTATTTACTTCTTTTTGTATTCTGAATTATTAAACAGTATACGTATATATCGTATATGTATATACATATATATTTGGATTTATTTATTTTTCGATAATACTTATTCAATATTAATCTGTATCTCTTATTTTTTATTTAAATAAAAAGTGTAATAACATATAGCAGATAATCATACATTTATTCCATCAAAATAATAGCTATAATACTTTTCAGGCAACGAAATAAAATATATTATTTTAAAATTGAAATCATCAATTTAAGTAGGTATTTACCAAAGTTTCTGTATGAAAAGAATAAAAATAGAAATGTAGTTTTGTTGATACACCATTGAGGTGGGTAAACTTTATGCGCCATTATTACAATAACACGGTAGGTAGAAGAATTTATTTATTTTACTGCGGCCCCAACTCTTGGTTCAATAGACGGCTACCTAGTCATCTGTAGGTGGTCACACATAAAATTTAACCGAATAAATATAGATCCAACGGTTGAAAGTTGTAAACACCCGTTGGATAAATGCCAGTAGGAATTTGATGGGCTTAGCCCTTACTGAGAAGCAGCTCTGCGGTTTCTGTCATAGATTTATAGTTCTAACGAAATATAAAAATAAATTAGTACAACTATAGCTAATTGATATCTATTAGCTAAACCCAAATTTTAAAATAAAGTGTATCTAATAATTGTGAGTTATATAAAAAATTTAATCTACAAAATTGGTTTTGAATAACGAAAATCATGTTAGCATGCCTACATACACAAAAATAGATATAATATCTGAAAACCACATCGTCTTTGAAGTAGATTGAAAACTATACGACGTGTCAACACAAATCTTAATCATATTATGTTCAATAAAATTATAACTGCGTTTTCGTATTAATCCGGCAGCGACGTAACTCATCTTTTTTTTAACATAAGTACGATTAGTGCTTTGATTAAATTGATGTTTATTGTTTGTTGCAAACTGCACTGTTTTTGATGAAAAAACTCTTTTGATCTTAATATATATAGAAATTATTAAACAATTTTTTTACATGTCACCTTACTGTCTCTACTATTACCATTAAAATATTTATCCAGTTATAAATTGTTTTACAACATATTTAACTGTTTTACAGTTCTTATTGTCGATTTAGAAAAGTTAAAGAAACAATGACGATGTGAAGATGCGATTAGGGAGTAAATAAAATTAACGTTTTCAATACTGCCGTCGCTAGTTAAAGATGATAATATTAATTTGCATTTGAAGATCACTTTATGGGCTTAATAGGTATTTGTCATTGTTTTTTCAATAGTTTTCCTCTACTGTCTAATTGTGTGCGTAGTTCTTGTGACTATGATAGCAATCCCAAGTGTGAATCACCTTACAATTGAGTTAGCAGGAGCTTACTCAAACACAATTAAAATGGACAATGAACTCCACCCACGCGCAGTTGACTCCTGTCTTTATGTACCACTGCACTGCTATAGATTACAAACGTGGATAAAATTTAATTATTTAAAAAATTACATGTTCTTGTTGAGTATTAAAGTATAATACAAATGCACTCACCAAGTAATAAACATGCAACTACACAAACATTCATAATGTTAATAATGATGATAATAAAATAAAATAATGCTAAATATACTGATCTTGCAATAGAACTAGAAATACAATGTCAGATAGGAACAACGAAAACTCTTCCAATTATTGTCTCGTCTATAGGTATCGTTCCAACGTCCTTTTTTTATTGGTTTGTTTGGGCTATTGTCAGGTGCTTGGACCTGTAGAACTGCGATCTATTGTACTCGCTCTTTTTTAGAGTTCGCTACCTAGACCCATTAGGGAAAAGAATTCAAGGATATTCAGAGATTAGGAGCGATAGTTTTTATCTCCTCAGGATAGAGTGTAAACTTTCCAAAGGAGATATTACGTTTATGCATGAGTGGGCTATAACCACATAGGATGTGTAGTGGCGTTTCCTCTTCAGTATAGCAAAATCTACAGATTTTTACATACATACATTACATACTAGACAAGATATTACAAGATTACCCACTTACTTCTATACTTTTCCAAAAAGCTATAATAAATACTAAACACGTGTAGATTTGTACCCAAATTTTTGTCTTTGTCATCTCATTTCATTTCATCTTTGTCATCAAAGAATGCATACTAAAATAAACAAAAAAAATAAAAAAAAACAACAACTATACATACAAAGTACAATGATAATGACAATCTGCATACGAAACTACTCTAATACTGTGACTCTACATAATTTGTTACTGCTCTGTGATACTCTGTGGCAGTACAATTAAATAAGTCAAGTGGAAAGTTAAAGATATCTCATTAAGCAGACGGAGTGCTCTTGGGTGTGGTGCATGATCAGCGTGTGAGGTTCTGCACCGGTTATATATAAATTACTAGCTGTTAGTCATGAAATATATACATTACTAGCTGTTTGTTATCTGTGACTTCGTCTGTACTGACTTTCACTCCTGTTTTGCACCATATCTACTTAATGACAAATTTAATTAAGCTCTGTTTAGCCGTTTATAGTAATGAATACAAAACATATACAGTTTATATAGCGATTATAAGACATCCTTTTAAGAAGATGTAACTTTATAGACGCAAATTCATCATTTATGCCTCGTACCCGCGTCTACTTGCTGATTCCATATAAAATAGTGGAGATAACGTCTGTGGACGCGACATGATTACATGTATGTACGCTGCATTACGTTATTCGTCCCTAGTAAAGGATTCTATTCACTACATCGTATCGTCGTCGGCGTTACAACCCTTTCAACTTTTGGGTAGGGGTTTTTCCACATAAGAGAACCAT